GCTAAAGTAGGAAATCAAGAGACCCTTTCTCAAACATACACAGAGTGCTATCAGTGAAACCAAGGAACTGCAAGGGTTCCCTGATGGTTCTCACCATCTTTATACAAACTCCTCTTTTGTCTTCACCTTGTGAAGCTTCTGAGTGGTAAGAAACAAGTCTCCATCTCTGAATGATACCATCAGAGCCTTTCACATTTCACTCTTCATGCCTAATTGACTGAGAAATGAGTCCCTCTGAATTTGGATGTGGTGAACAGTTTTAGACTAATTTTCTGAAGTTCTTGGTGAGACATTCATGGCACATTAGCATCAGGCATTACTTTTATTGATGTTATGGCTATCATATGGAATAATTTATCATAACAAATAAAGTAAACAACTTGGCAGAAAGATTCAGTTTGGAAATGGAAGAAGCATCTTCAAGTTCTGACACCTCACCAATCAGAAGCCAGAGAGTATAGCCCACCTGCCTCTCAAGTCAGAGAATCCAGCTTGTCATGTGCAGTTGTCAGGAAAGTCCCTTTGATATTGTCTTCCTTGGTTTTCTTAGACGAGTTTGTATCTGATTTATTCCAAGCATGCCTCTAAGCAATTACGTATCTTTCCATTTAATCCTCAAAGTGGCCCTGTGACGTCCATGCCCATTTACAAGTGGAAAGTAAGGCTCAGCTGCATAACCCTCCCAAAGACCCAGAGCTATAAAGGCTAAATGGGGATTCAAACCCATCCGTCTGACTTAACGTTGGCTTTGCCGTCACATTACCACTCATCCCTGTCTCTGTCTCATTGATGAACCTTCCCAGATCCCATATTAGAAAAGCAAAAGACAACGTTTGGGAGTTCAGTTAATTTGTTAACTTTCCTTTTCAATTGTGGCCAGATTGTTTTTAAGAATAAAGTCTTACTTTTTTAAAAATAAAATCATTAAGCAGTTTTCATGACATGTACAACAAATCCATTATTTTCCCTTAAAGTCTTAAGCATATTTAGAAGAGAATGGTTTAAGTTTTTTGTCAAATTTGGAATAAAATCTCTACTCACTTTAAAATCAAATAACTTATTTTATTTGTCAAGTAATACAAACATATATACTAGTATATTTAGTTGCAATTAAAGTAAAGCTGAATGATCATGTGTGTGTTACTCCAATGACATTGGACACTTATCAAGCCCTTTGAGCAAAGTACTTTAACAAGCAGAGTAAATTCTATGAATGGCTACATATTATAGAACTAGTGATCCAGTACATGAAATTTGTGCACATTAAAAGGAAGTTAGAGGAACTATTTTAATATTGCTATTTGCTCTTTTTCTATTATACAAGTGTCAGAGATGAAAGGAAATTAGTAAAATATATATGAAAATCTTCCTCCTGTCAGAGTCTGGGAACCACAGTCAAGTCTCCGCACACACACATGCACCTCAAAATCATGTGAGACCCAGACCTGGCCAGCCCTACTCCCATCAAGTTTGTGGAAAATTTCCAGAAATTGGAACAAAAATAAATGAAGGATCTAGAATAGATAGAAATCATTCAGGATGAGTTCAAATAACAACCATTACAGAAAGAAAGAGGAAAGCAAAGCATCAAATCATTTTATAAAATTGCCCAGCGTTGATGGATATAGCTTTCCAAATTGATGGGTCCATGAGTCATGCGTGAAAATAGACCCATACCACTCAAAGTGTCTCACACTCAGAAGCTCTCAGGAGTGAGGCCAGTTAATGAGTGAGATCCTTCCAATGAGAACAGTGACAGACTTATGGCTGCCAGAGGGGAGGGCAGTTGGGAGACGGGGTGAAAAGTGAAGGGATTGAATAGTACCAACAGGCAGTTACAAAATAGTCACATGGATGTAAAGTACAGCATAGTCAATAATATTGTGATAACTATGTATGGTGCCAGGTGGGTACTGGAAATATCGAGAATACTTTATAAAGTATGATTGTCTAACCACTATGCTGCACACCTGAAATAATACAAGATACTATTGAATGTAAACTGTATTTGAAAGAAATAAAAAATAATTTAAAAAGAGAACAAATGGAGAAGGAAGGCTCCACTTAAAGAGGAGGGAGGTGGGAAAGCGAGTCCATTGTGGCTGGGAAATCCTACCAAGAAACACTATGTAGTGCATTTCATGTGCTCTGGTCCAATCCACAACAGAACAATAGGTGAGAACAACCTACAACAGAAATGGTATGAGACAAGCACAGTTAATGAAGACCCATTAACATTTCCTACGCACTAATTTAGACAGTTGCTATCTCCATCACCATTGTACAGACTAGGAGACTAAGGTGCCTAAACACTGCCTGCTCAAGCTCACATGACTAATAAGTGGTAGAGCCAGAACCTAAACCCAAGCATTCTGACTGCCAAGTCCCAATAACCACTATATCATATTCCGTCTCTAAGTTTTTTAAGGAAGCCATCCATTTATACAAAATCCACAATTTTGATATGTTGGTAACTAAATTTTTTCAAAGCACTACAATCCTTGCAAAGTATGCTTGGCGTATGACTTCTTCTCAGGCAGTAGGTAGTTAAAATACGATGCCAGGGTGTTCACACCATGACGGAATCCCCAGAACATTTAACATGACTAGTGGGCCTGATAGTGACATTGTCAGGAGCTCCTAGAGATTTGGCCCCACTTCTTGGCTCAACTTTATCCCTCCGATGGTCATCCACCCTGAAAACTCTGTCAAACCTTAAGCATGTGCTTGGTAAAAGGAGAAAGAAGGATCTAATAAATGTGGGAACGGCCACCATACTTGTTTGTAGATCATGAGAAGTTTCCAACTTCTCTGGAAATCTGCGTGGGTTTGTCCAAGAGGTCACAGTGCTCATTTCCTCTGATGCAAAGATGATACAGATGGGTTTGATGGTGCGTCTATTATTGTTTTGTTTCAGATCATTTCAGTGGAACATGGATTTAAAAAAAGAAGAGAGAGAAAAATATTGAGTGTTCAGTCATGGTTGCTTCTGCTTGGCAAAATATTGTGTAAATTCATTGGCAGATGCTAGGAAAGTTGTACTTGCTGATAATAACCAAGTTTTTATTTCTGTGTCCCATGCCCAGAACAATTTGCTATTCTGAAATATGGCACGAGTGAAAATGCTAGATGTGTATATTTCTCTAGAGGAATTATTTCACATCATTGCATGGAGATAGAATTATGAATTAATTGTAGTGAATAGAATGTTTTGCATTCTTTGCTAGAAGCCAAGAATAATGATTGAATGAAGACCTATTAACATTTTCATTGCACTAGTTTAGACAGTGGGTATGGTATTGGTATATGTGTTTGCTTTTTCTTTCAATGTTGTGTTGAGATATTAAACCATCTGTTCTTGTGCATAAACATTTTTCTGGGATTCAGATGGGATTACAAGCTATGATATGGTTCTATGATTATTATGGGGTGATCAGACTGTTTATAAGAAAATTTTACTTTAGGGGCCTTTTACTGATCACTACAAGCTTAGGTTGGCAAAACATCTCCTTTTGGAAGCAAATTGTTTTTTTTACAAATGTTGGTATGGTTAATTTTAAGTATCAGTCTAAATTAAATGATATTTCTAAATTCTTAAGATGATATTTTTGAATTTATTAGGACTAGAGTTCATTTTCAAGATTAATTCTACATAGACTCATTACCAGTTTCTTTTCATTTTCATCAAATGGAAATATTCCTAAGAAAATTTATAAAGCTCAAAATTGTCTACTGTGCCAGATAATAATTTTATCTGTAAACTAAGTAAAAGTTATATGTACATGACTATATTATGAATATGCATAAAAATATAATTGAATAGCACCAAACATTTACTACTATCAATAAAATAATAAAATAGTCACATTCCAAAATATTTTAGAACATTCCAGATATGAATTTGTAAACAAAATTTAAAGATTTATAGTATATCTAGCAAAAGATTTTCACCTGGGAAAATAAAGAACTTTAAATCAGTGATTCTCATCCACTTTCCCACCCAGGATTCTTGAGGAGTACTGAACGTTTCCATGACAATGGCGTCTCTCCCTTGAAAGACATTAAGGACCTGAAAAGGGAACACACATGAGTACCACTAAATAGGAGCCCCCAGTGTCTTTTTTAAATATATTTTTTTAATTGACTTTAGAGAGGAAAGGAGAGGGAGAGAGAGATAGGAACATCAGTGATGAAAATCATTGATCAACTGCCTCCTGCACGCCCCCTTCTGGAGACTGTATCTATAACCTGCCCAGTGGCTCTCCTCTTGGAGAATCCACCCTTTGTCTCCCTCGCATGAGAATCACAGATTCAAATAGGTTTAGATCTGATGAGCAGCTCTCCAATTGCTTTTTTTTTAATTACAAATTTAAAATGACTTTGCTTCAGTGTTTAAGTTTATAAATACTGCAATATAAACATTTTTACATCAAGAAGATGTAGTGACACTGGTAAAAAAAAAAAAAAAAAAAAAAAAGCAATAGTTCTTACCATTTGCAACAGCATGGATGGAACTGGAGAGCATTATGCTATGTGAAATAAGCCAGGCAGAGAAAGATAAATATCACATGATCTCACTCATTTATAGAATATAATGAACAATATAAACTGATGAACAAAAATAGATCCAGAGACAGAAAAACATTGATCAGACCATTAAACCTCAGAGGGAAGGTAGGGGAGGGTGGGGGTAAAGGGGAGAGATCAACCAAAGGATTTGTATGCGTGCATATAAGCCTAACCAATGGACACAGACAACATGCGGTTGAGGGCATGGGAGGGGAGGGACGTAATGGGGGAATAAGGACACATATGTAACACCATAATCAATAAAGAAATTTTAAAAAAAAGATGTAGTGTGCACATTTCTAATTCATTTGTTGATCATCTTTGCTTTACATACAAACTGTACTTGCATTAACTGCTGTTACAAAATAGGAAATGCATAGTATGTGAGTTGTGGATATAAAGATGTGACTATTCTGTCTTCATCGTTACAGCTCCATCCAGCAGAAAACCGGGAGACCCCCTTGTCATTTCAGATATCAAAAAAGGCAGTGTGGCACACAGGTAAGGAAAGCGTCTTCTCTGTTTATTCCAAGGCATTTCTTCATAACGCAGAAATGACCCAGCCACACCCGAGGCAGACCTGGCTAATGGAGCGTGGTAGCTTCAAGCAATTGGAGAGCTGGTCATCAGATCTAAACCATGTGATATTTATCTTTCTCTGCCAGGCAGCTCCCACAAATCAATCATATTTGGTATTCCTACTGTCAGTGCTACTGTAGAAATTCCTCGGCCTGCTGATTTATCTCTGCACCCAGTACAGAAAGCATAGGCCTGAAAATGTATTTTAAGGTCGTTTGTGAGTCCAACAGAGACTCTCCTTCACCAATCGATCATATCCCACCTCTCATTTTCCAACTGAAACTCTGGAAGCGGCCTTAGGTTTGCCAGACACCCCACATGGAGACAGCAGTTTGTGCAAGAGCTTTGCTAGATGCCAGAATGTCCTTCCTGGCCCAGCCAGGTCCTTCGGCCTTCTTGCCAAATCTCCTATTTGGTCCATATCCATCCAAATCAGGAAGTCTCAAACTTTTGATTTCACAGATCAAAAATATTTTTTAAATGATTGGAGAACACTAATATCAGACTATTAACTTGTTTTAATTTTCCAGTTAAGGACTTTATTTAAAAAAAAAAACAACAACAACAACAAAAAAACACACACCTATTATCACAGCCATTTCATTAAAGAAACCTTTTAACCCTCAAAAAATAGTAAATCCCTAGCTGGGTTATCTCAGTGGACAGAGCATCAGCCTGAGGACTGAAGGGTCCTGGGTTCAATTCTGGTCAAGGGCACATGGACAAGGACACAGATATTTTTTTAAATAATTAAATGCATAAATCTGTTTTTTTAAAAAAGGTAATGTGTGGGTGTAGGTAAATAGGTAGAGGCTCCACTGTGACAGAGAGACTCACAGGTGAAGTGGATCAAATAAGACAGCAATTTGTCTCTCACATAACAGCGGGGGAGTGTGGCAGGTGCTGCAGGGCTGGGAAGCAGTTCACCATCCTCACCGCTTGCTCAGCATTGCAACCTGGTAGCCACAGAAGGGAGGCAGGGGTGGTGCATCTCTAGGGTATGATTCCAAAATAGGAAGGGAAGAAGAGATGCTGGGAAGCAATTCGCAATTTCTGTCACAGACCCAAAGCGTACAGGATAGTTCTTATCAAAACATGACTTGATTGCCAGCATGGCTCAGTGGTTGAGCATTGGCCTATGGACCAGAAGGTCATGGTAGGATTTCTGGTCAGGGCACATGCCCGGATTTCAGGCTCAGACCCCAGGGCGGGAGGCTTGTAGGAGGCAACAGATCAATGATTCTCTTTCATCATTGATGTTTCTCTCTCTCCCTCCCCCTTCCTCTCTGAAACCAATAAAAATTTGTTTTTTAAAACAACATAATCTTATTTACAATTGTGTGTATATACATATATGCACACACAAACACATACACAATCGTATTATTTTTCTTATTTCATGGTGGACCTTATAAACCTTCAGACACCTGCAGGGGCTCCACAGCTAGTATTACGCCCTCGAAGGCCACCCTCCAGATAGCAAGCGTGGAATTCCCCTTTTCTCCCCACAGGGAGTTCCCCGTGCGGGTGGAAATGGCAGAGGCGCCACTCTGTCCATCCACCTTGGCTGCCCTCACTTCCTCAGCCCTGCCCTAGCATCTAGACTGCCAAGGGCCCAAAGGGGCACGACAACATGGAGAAGCACAGGAGGCCAGACATCCTCTCCCTTCCTAGGAGCCTACAAGTCCCTGAGTGAAGCTGACAGTGTTGTCCTGGCTAATGGGAGGCAGCACACACACACACACAAAAAAAAAAAAAAAAAAAAAAAAAAAAAAAGCTGTTTTTAACCCTCTGTGATTTCCAGTCATGGCAGCCATCCAAAATAAGACTGGGAAAAAGGGGGTAGGGGAGAGTCAATAAAAACCAATTTAAAAGGCAGTTGAGGAAGCCTTTTTCTCTAAAGATTACCATAATGCTGCATGATGCCTGGACACGTGCTCATCATTGCTCGCGTGTTGCTCCGCATTTACCAACAGGACCGGCACGCTGGAGCTTGGAGATAAACTGCTTGCCATAGACAACATCCGCCTGGACAACTGCTCCATGGAAGACGCCGTTCAGATCCTCCAGCAGTGCGAAGATCTGGTGAAGCTCAAAATCCGCAAGGATGAAGATAACTCAGGTACTGATAGCCTCGCCGTTAAAGCCGGTATCTCTAACTGCCCATCTGCCACAAAGGCTATTAGATCTTGATGTTTTACATACAACAGCTGGCTGGTGACATTGCAGCAGAGTTTTTACACCGCTAAGAAGGGCTTTAAATTGTGCGTTGGTAGTTTAGTATCAATTTTAAGTAATGGTGCTTTTAAATGATATAATTAAGATGGTGTCATTATAGAACCATTATTACAACTGTATTTAAATAATCTCTAAAGATGAAAACTAAATTATCACCCAGTACCACCCTAACCCAATGGAACAAGTCATTTTCAAGTTTATAGTTTATATTACATAATTATAACCATAGTGCATGTTACATTTTTACTTAATTTTATAAACCAGTTATCTTTTTTACAAACCCGTACTACATTTTTTTATTTACTGCCTGTAATTTATTTACCATTCTTCTCTTCTTGCTTAGATTGCTTTTAATTGTTCATTATTGTGGGTAGTGCAATCATGGATATCTTTAGGCATAGATATCTTTATTCAGTTGTTCATCCTTTGAATTATTTCATTAGGAAATATCCCTAGGAGATTGCTGAGTCAGATTGAGATGGAAATCTTATGGTTCCCAATGAGTCTTCTACCATGTTTCTTTCTAAAAGGGCTGTATTTATTTTTAGTCCTTCCAGTCATATATGAATCCATTGGAGCAGTGCTTCTCAAATGTTAGTGGGCCTCAGGATCGCCTGAAGACCTTATTTTAAAAATAAATAAATAAACGAGCAAACAAGTCCCAGCTAGGTGGAGTTAGTTGGAGTGTTGTCCCGTACACCAAAATGGTTGTGAGTCCAATCCAGTTCGGGTGCGTACCAACGGCAACTGATCTCTTTCTCTCTCCCCACTCTCCTTTCCTCTCCAAAAAATAAAAATTCAATAAACATATTCTCAGGTTTAAATTTGTTTTAAAAAGCAGCAAACTCATAGAGAACATTTTTGTGGTTACTAGATGGGAGAAAGGTTGGGGGCATGGGTGAAAAGGGAGGAAAATATTTAGAAGTACAAATTGGTAGCTACAAAGTTGTCTCAGGGATGTAAAGTGCAGAATAGGGAATATAGTCAATAATGCTATACTAACTCTGTATGGTGCCAGATGGGTACTAGAATTACCAGAATAATTGTTTCATAAGTTACATAAATGTCTAATCACTATGTTGTATAACTGAAACTAATATAATATTGTATGTCAACTGTAATAGGAAAACTAAAAATTATTTTTTTAAAGAAACACAGTTCTTGGGCACTGCTCCCAAATGGGGCCCTGAGATTCTGCATTTCCAGCAAACTTCCTCATTATGCTGCTATGGTCCAAGGACCACACTCCAAGTAGCCCTGCAGTAGAAGCCCTTTAATCTAATTACTAGAGGCCTGATGCACGAAGATTCGTACAAGAATGGGCCTTCCTTCCCCTGGCTGCCGGCACCCCCTTTGCTCCTGCCCAGAGCCACCTTTCTGCCTTCCCATGCTGCATAGAGGCCTGGAGTAGCTAGGATGGTGCAGAACACCTGCTTTGTCACAATGGTGACGACACAAGTGTCCCATCCCACCCCCAGCCACTCAACACCTGCATATGCAAATTAACCAGCCATCTTTGATAGGTTAATTTGCATACTTGCACCTGGTTGGCTGATGGGCTGGTGTCAATTTGCATGTTTCTCTTTTATTAGTGTAGATGATAAGAACCAGAGCTTATTGGGGAAAGTCCATTAATTGAAAGAGTCAGCAAAATGTGGGGAATTAGAGAAAATATATCTACACTAATAAAAGAGAAACATGCAAATTGACCATCACTTCTCTACGCCCACCAGCCAATCAGGACTGAATATGCAAATTAACCTAACCAAAGCTGGATGCGGCCCCACCCCCTACCTACTCCAGGCCTCTGGGCAGCATGCATGCAGGATGCCTGCTATGAGGGAGAGGGTCCAGGGGGTCAGAGGGAGCTACAGGAGCAGTGCTCTGCCCAGAGCCTTTAAACTGAAGGTGGTAGCCAGAGGGAAGGCCTGGGTCCTGGGTGCTGGAAGAAAACCAGAGCCAGCAGCCAGGAGAAGGAAGGCCTATTGCACAAATCATTTCATTCAATGGACCTCTAGTATATCCATAATATAAGTGCTTAATTTAAAATTTTGCCAGTCATTCCAGTGAAACCAAGGACTTTCCTATGAGTATTCTGCTGAGTATAGTTAAGCATCTTCTTACCTGTTTGTTTGCCCAAACTATACCCATGATAATCAGTTTACAATTTCCACTTAAAGGTATTTTTGTTCATCTGTTTTACTATGGTGAGAATTTTAAAAGTTTAAAGCAATCATAATGCTTACTCATCTAAATTTTTATTTTCCCAAATGTTTTTGAGTTTTTCCTCTACATAATTAATAGTACGGGTTTGCTTAATGAAACCCTCCTTATAGGATCTTTCCAAAGCATTTGATTTTTTTTCATAGAACTACTATACTCATATATTATACATTATGTAAAATTCATTAAATGACATAGTTACAATAACAAGTAAAACTGGGGTAAAACAGGCTTGGGGATAAATGTAATTGACTCTAAAATTTCAAACTTACAACTCAAGAGGTAGCAGTAGCAGAAGTATATGGGGCACTAGAGAGGGAGGCCTGCTAATCCGGAGCAGTTCGTGGCATCGGTCAGGAACCTCGCAGAGAATGTGGAGCCACAATTGGGTAATTGGAGCTTGGTTAAGAGAGCTTCTTCTGTTCCCAATTCCATCCATACCAATAGTGCGTTAGTGTGCAAGATCTGGAGTCACCTGTAATGAAACCACCTAGACCCAGAGTTCACGGTTATGTCAGGCAGTGTGTTGACGATTCCTACCCAAAGCCAAAACCAATTGGTAGTTACATTCAATTGCACAGCTGGTAAGGATGATTCTGTCCTAATATATAGCCAACATTTTAAAATGTGCATAGGTTTCTACTCGTTATTTCCCAAACAACTGATTTTTCGTGCCAACATTTGCATTCCTCTCCTTACAAGCATGGCTTCGGTTGCACTTTCTTTTTGGAGGGATAAAGCCTCCAGCATCACTCGGTTCTATCCTGGGGAAGAGGCAAAGCCCTGTGGAGAACCCCACTTTGCATGATTTGCTAAGCTAAGCAGGTAGCAGTTACCTTCCCTGCAGAGCGAAAAAGCCGACACAGAGGAATATGCTTGGAGCTGGTTGGTGATCCTCCCGTTCCAAAGCCAAGCTGAGCAGACACACTGGGAGGAGTTTCAGAAACACGAATTGTTGCTTTCCTTCAGCTCATTTTTCCCCTTTGGACCTTTCCTCCCTATAATCTCTATACCTAACATGATGATAATTAGGATATGCTTATTAAGCATATTTTCCAGCTTCTCTGGTTTCATTGCTCTGCCTTGCACCTTACCCAAGGAGATGGCAGCACTCTTCTCAAACATTAAGTCTTTGTTTTTCATTCAGTCATGCAATTTATTTAGTGTCTATGAGGTGGAAGCTACTGTGCCAGGGACTGCCAATTAGATTAAAAAGGACACAGGCCCTGCCTGCCCTTAAATCAGTCACCGCCTTATAAGAGAAACAGAAGAAAATCAATAATTAACAACATGATGAATGTTCTAAGGGTGTGCAGAAAATGTTAACATTGTGCAGTCATTGTGCACTGATGCATGGGGAGGTCAAGGAATGCTTCTAACAACCTGTCTTGACATCGTCTGGGAGGTATTGTTAGAATCAATCAGAAGAAGAGTATGAACCAAGCAGGAGGCCAGACAGCATGCACATCTTAGTAGCAGATGGAGCTCAAGCAGAAACGATGTGTAAGGACTCGGCAGTAGGAGAGGAGAAAGCTCTCCTGGAGCCAGTCATTATGGTCCTTCTAAACCATGTGAAGACATTTGAGCTTACCCAGAAGCCCTTGGGAGGGCTTATCGCAGGCGAGTGAGGCCATCGTATTTGGTCAATGACCACCAGTTGTAATCATTTACTAGAACAGTGGTCGGCAAACCACAGCTCTCGAGCCACATGCGGCTCTTTGGCCCCTTGAGTGTAGCTCTTACACAACCAAGGCCTGGGCAAGTCTATTTTGAAGAAGTGGTATTAGACCTTAAAGTTTAAAAAATTTGGCTCTCAGAAATTGCAGTCGTTGTACTGTTGATATTTGGCTCTGTTGACTAATGAGTTTGCCGACCACTGTACTAGAGTATTGAATGAGTCATTTGAGAGCATCTGAATTAATTGTTTCTAGTTCTTTCTGGGAGAAGCTGAAGAATAAATAAGAACACTAGATTGGTTTCCCAACTGACATGCTAGGAAATGGAAAATTAACTTCTCTGAGCATCAGTTTCCTCATCTATAAATGTCCCTTTACTGCCTACTTCGCCTGGCTGTCTTAAGATCAAAAGAGGTAATAAATTGAAGTGCTCAGCAATAATGTTTGGCACTTATGAGTAATAAGGCCCAATGAATGCTAATGATCAACAGTTATTATTAGGGGGTTATTAAAGCTAATTTTAGCTTCATTTTACAATAGCCCCATCTTTGGAACACTTGATTGTGGGCATCTCCCTCCCTCTATAGTCAAGACCTTTCTGCCTTCAGGAGCCTTCACATTTGTTTTGTTCTTTTCATTACCACAGAAACATAAATTAAGTAGAGCCACACTGTTCCAAAACAATGGCTGTTACCCAATCCTCAGATCCCCAAAGATGCAAATAGCCTTCTTGAAATAAAATCTATTGCTTTGCCTTGGTTGCATCTAGATTCACTATAAACACAGATGGGAGAGTTTGGAGATCTGAAAAGGTACCTCGAAGCAAAACTAGAGAATTTGGAGGAATTGTAGGAAGAGGTAAAAGGAGGCTTCCAAATGTGTCTCCAATCATTTCTAGGGGTCCACTGAGACCACACAACAGTCAGGAAGCTGTTCTGAATGGCTCATTTACTCAGGCTGTTCCCCTCCAAGAAAGGTGGCCGTCCTCTGAAATGCATTCCATCACTTGGTTAAAATGAACTCTGATTGACCCGCACATTTATGCATACCGAGGGCTCTCTCCCAAATCCAAGCCTCCTATTTGGCCACAAGAGCAGCTGCCATTATGGATTCGCGCCAGAGAGCGCTCATTCTGTTAAACAGGAGGCACTCGAGAAACCCAAAAACAATGTTGCTGATAATTGATGCTGCAATTCTGCATCTGTTCTGCGGTCCCATTCATTTTCTTAACTAGAGCCAAGCAGAACAAACAAGGAGGCTGGCCCCCTGTCATGTCTTTCACTAATAGTTGTAAGCCTTCTGCTGTGATGGAAAAGCTGCTGATGATATCATTAACATCTGGTTAGGCTCCCTAGCACCTTACTGGTGATCCCACATTTTTCCTTTTCAGGAAGTCTGTTCCTTCAACACACTGGTTGCTGCTTTCTACGCTGGAGCAGCCTGGAGGAAAGAGGAACTTGGAGAAATGGCCTGAGTATCCCAGGCCTTCCTGCCAGCTCCTCAGCTGCAGAGCCAGGCATGGGCCAGCTGAGCTCCAGCCCTAGGTGGCAGATGGGACTGGACGTGCAGCCTGGAGCTGACGCAGCCATTCTTGGGACTGCGAGGGGAGAATGCTGCAGACCTGCTGGTTCCCACAGAGGCAGCCCAGGTCTTACCCTCCCACTCTGAAAGAGCCAGGTTGGGTTTGCATCACTTTGGAGAAGGAAACTAGGCCGTGGAGTAGCGGGGAGGGTGCTCCAACCCTGAGTGAAATCAACTTTCCTATATTGAAAGGTAGCTGGCTGTAAAGCCTGAGAATAGGAATTGCGTGGCCTGATCTCTGTCACTGCACTCCTCCCTAATTGCCTCCTCGGCCGTGTGTTTCTTCCGCTGGTGTGGATGGCTCCCTCACAAAATGCTGGGCCAGCGTGCAAGGCCTGCCGTGCACCTGGTGACTCTCTCCCGGTTTTAAGCATAAGTCATTAGGATGCTCCCTGTTAGAATGTGATGTCCTATGAAGGAAATGCTACTTCTCCAAATAATTATGTTCTGCGACATGATGTGCTGATGCCGAGGTTCTGAATTTTTTATTTTATGTCTGAATACATTTGCCTTATTACTTTATGTGTGTGTTTTTTTCTCCAAAAAAGAAATTATGACTTTTTGCCATTTATTGCAGATGAGCAAGAAAGTTCCGGGGCGATTATTTACACCGTGGAGCTGAAGCGCTATGGGGGGCCCCTCGGCATCACGATTTCAGGAACTGAGGAGCCGTTCGATCCAATAATCATTTCAAGCCTCACTAAAGGGGGATTGGCTGAAAGGTAACATTCGAATGAACTGCTCCAGTTACCTGGGTCTGAGATGAGTTTCCTTTCTCACAGCCCTGCCCTCCTCCCTGGCGGGGGTTTTCCGTGGCCTTGTTCAAAAATCGATTTTAGAGCTTGAGAAGTCTTGGGTATTGCTCTGACCTGACTCAGAGGGGCATCTGACCGGCGGTGAAAGGTGCCAGTGGTTCAGCATTGATATCAGTCTCTAGAAATGTATAAATGGGCCACAATTGACTGGAGGTAGATTTATATCCTGTCCATTTTGAGAGAAGGAGGCTGAAGTTCAGGGAGGTTAAGAGGCTTGTCCAACTCAATTCAGCAAACGTCCGCTGAGCCTCTCCCCTGACAGGCATGGCCTCAGCTGCTGTTTTGCAGAAGAGGATGGCACAGGCTGTATCGTCAGAGATTCCGGGAAGCAAAGTGTAACATCTTGATGATACCTTGCAATTTGGAATGTTCCTTTGGCGATCTGTTTTCATGAGCACGCATCCCAACCCCATGTAAACTGCATCTTTCAGATGGATGCTTTAGGCCAGTGATCCTCAACCTTTCTAATGCCAGTTCCTTGTGTATAGCACATACAATTATGCACAGTATGTAATACTTGACAATTACTGACTGTGCTACTGGTATGTATTAGTATACTATTCTTTTTGTTGTTATTTTAGAGTGTACTTTTTCTACTTACATAAAAACTAGAAGCCTGGTGCACAAAATTCGTACACTGGGGTGGGGGTCCCTCAGCCCAGCCTTCACCCTCTCTAATCTGGGACCCCTCATGGGATGTCCGAATGCCAGTTTAGACCCACAAGGATTGGGCCTAAACCAGCAGTTGGACATCCCTCTCACAATCCAGGACTTCTGGCTCCCAATGCTTGCCTGCCTGCCAGTCTGATCACCCCCTAATCACTCCCCTGCCAGCCTGATCGATACCTAACTGCTCCTTGCAGGCCTGGTCACCCTAACTGCCCTCCCCTGCCAGCCTGGTTGTCCCTAACTGTCCTCCCCTGCTGGTCATCTTGTGGCAGCCATCTTTGACCACATGGGGGTAGCCATCTTGTGTGAGAGCATGAGAGTCAATTTGCATATTACCTCTTATTATATAGGATGTTTGTTTTAAAACAATATATTGTGTTACACCAGCAGCGTATTTACTGAGTCTCTTGGTTGCATCCTTTTCTCTTGGCCTTGATTTGATTTTGTGTTGTTTTGTACAGTAACATGCTGTGCAAGCTTGTAGTCTAGGAACAAAAGCCTACACCATACAGCCTCGGTGTGTGGTAGGCTCCACCATCTAGGTTTGTGTTAAGTACACTCTAGATGTTCCCAAGACAAGGAAATCACCTAAAGACACATTTCTCAGGACATGTTTCCATTGTTATGTGGTGCATGACTGTACAGCAATTGATTCCCAAAATCAGCCTTTTTCATTTCCTTGGAACCACCAGCAGGGGGCCCAGCCACACCAGAGCCTGGGGTGTGTCCCCATCTCTCTGAACCTCACTTCTAGCTAGCTGGGAGAATGATTGTGTTCAACTTTAAATCCATATGAAGAAGAAATGCCCCATCCTAAACATTGCTACATTCATTGTCCAATCTTGTTTGTTTCCTTGGGATTTTTAAGAGGATTACCAAATGACTCTGCTTTCTTGGAATTTAAAAGGCATACAAGTTCACTTTAACTACTAATTAAAACAATTTTTTCTAATTTTACTTGAAACCAAAAAGTAATTCACAACAGACGCAGTTGTCTTGTAACGTTGCCCAGAAGAAGCTAGACGTGGTTTTTAGAGACCCTTGCCAAGTCTTTATTATTATGGATACAGAAAGTATGGCCGGGAATTTATATTGAGTAGCATACAGGGATTATTTCTGCTTTCCTATTGCTCCTCGGTGTTTCAGAACCGGCGCGATCCACATCGGAGACCGGATCCTGGCTATCAACAGCAGCAGCTTGAAAGGGAAGCCCCTGAGTGAGGCCATCCACTTGCTGCAAATGGCAGGAGAGACTGTCACCTTGAAAATTAAGAAACAGACAGATGGTGAGTGGGTTGAAAGCCACAGTTAAGAATTTCCAGTGCATTTCCTTCCCAAGAAGAATGTGTAAACGTCTGTATGTGCATTTCTAGGAAAATGACTCTCTAGCCAGAGAGTGTTTATCTTTTTATTTAAATGTATATGACCCTGGCCGACATAGCTCAGTTGATTGGGTGTCATCTGTGCCCCAAATGGTTGCTGGTTGGATTCCTGGTCAGAGCATGGAATTATTGATTATGGGCTCAATCCACAGAAAGCAACCAATTGATGATTCGCTTTCATCATTGATGTTTCTCTCTCCCTCTCCCTTCCTCTCTGTGAAATGAATAAAAATATTTTTTAAAAGCAATAAAAAAAGTTTTAAAATTTTTAATTTATTCTGATACTTAAACTTCTTTCCTGTCTTTAAAGCTCAGTCCACATCAAGTCCCAAGAAATTCCCCATCCCCAGCCACTTGGGTGACCTGGGCGACATGGAGGAGGACTCCTCTCCAGCACAGAAGCCAGGCAAACTCTCCGACATGTACCCGTCCACCGTGCCCAGTGTGGACAGTGCGGTGGACTCGTGGGATGGCTCTGGAATCGACGCCAGTTACGGGAATCAAGGTATGTCCTGGGCCTGGGGAAAGAGGCATTGTTGAAGCCCATGTTTCTCAAAGGTCCACCTTCTGCTCCACAAAAAGAACACCTTTCACTTATGTCTGCATCAGTGTAACCATATTGAACACATGGCTACGTGGCCCCACATTTCCTCCTTCTTAATGCTGATAAGCCATGAACATTTATCAAACACTAGCAGGCCCCCCATTAGACCTACCAAGGTTCAAGTGTTCCATCCAGAGCGTGTCCTTCCTGCATCAGTTAATTACGAGGGTAATCCTTCAGAGTGGTTCACTGAAGACAGCCCTATGGTCTTACCTTATCAGCAAAGACGGATTGGGATTCGGACAAGGAGCATGAGAGATTAGCCAATGATCTATTTATTCCTGCCTCCTCTGGCTTTTAAAAACAACGTGTAGGCATTTCCCCAGCTACTCATTATTAGAGTTGTAATCATAATATATAGAAATATTTAATAGAGTTCTCTTTGCAGACATCATCTTCATGTGAACAAGTATAACCTACGTTAAAAGTTAAAACACCCTAACAGGAAGTAAACACAGAATGTGTTAGACTGAATATAGACTATAAACTGAAAAGCTTCTTTTAAAAACCTGTTTCCCTTCCAATGGTACATAGCATCAAAAGAGAAGTGTATCAAAAAACTCTTTGGACTTCATCTTATCTGAGTCTTACCTTCTCGGTGTTGCCTTGTATAAATTTCGGCGCCGAATCCCCTTTCTGCACTGGGTGTAAGCCACCAGAGGATGAAATAGATGAACAGCTTTGAGAACACATGTTTGGGGGTGAGGGTTGCTGTGTAACTTGGTTAACTTTTTGGGAGAGCCTACATCCAGTTTGCTCTCCTCCCAGTTCCCTGGGTTTTCTTCTCACCACTTGCCTTTGCCTATATCACTCTCTGCTAAGTTCCTTGGAGAAAAAGGAAAATAAATATTTCAGAGCTCTCAAGTCGTTGCTTGTTAGAGATGATGTTAAGAGTTTGGTGGAAAAACATTTTGAACACACCAAAATAGATTTGGGAATTTATTTATCTGGCGGTTAATTTCTCTAAGTCATAATGCCTTGAAACAAGTAGGTGATGCCACCGAATAACAGGTATTCTCACTGCCTGAGAGTTCATGGGCCACCAAACATTAACTCTGACAAAGAGCATAAGCCGAGTTGTGTGTCAACGTGGACTCAGATTTATTTATTACTGTGTTTATTTGTTGATTGCTTATTACTGTGGAGTCTATTTTGTTACACCAAATTTTGTGAGCATGCTGCTAACTTGAATGAATTCCACCCCACAAGGTGGATGTGTAATAATTCAGTTACCCCGTCCCTTTACACCAGTGTTTCCCAAGTGTGGTACACATACCCCCAGGGGTACGGGAAGAGTTTGGTGGGGGATATGCACTGCACCATGCTTAGCTGCGCCTAATTCTACGTTCTCATGAGTACGAGGGGTACTCAGCATTACAAAAATTATAGAAGGGGTACACATATGTCAAAAGTTTGGGAAACACTGCTTTACATGGTAAGATCAGCACCACGAACAGCATACTCAATAGAGGGCTTCATGAAAAATGAAGAATCATTTATTTACAAAGCCCTTGGAACATTTGAAATCCTAGACAGGGAATAGTAGTCACAATACTATTAAATTTGGCATTTACCAATTAGAAATCTTTATGAGGCTGAAGAGAGATTAGAGATAAGTAGGGAAAGTGGCAATCAGAGCAGAATTGAAGTTTTAACAAGGTGATGGGAAAAGAGTCACCAGACCATATATTGGTAAAGCACTTTGGTGTTTACAAAGCACTTTCACAAAATTAATCTCAAGTGACTCCCATCACGGACATAGATGGCAACAGGTGTGTTGCTCACAGGATTTCAGTGTTGAGAGAGAATTTAGAAGCCAGCTCTCTGACATCCAGTGCAGCCATTGGTGCCTGGCCAGCCTCGCTGCAGGACCACACTGCCCGGGCTGGGGCTGGAGCACCCCAGAGACAGGGGCTCCCTCACTGCTCTCCCTTCTCCACGAACGAAGCTCTGTCTCTGAGTCCTCCGCTGCATTGAGCGAAAATCCATCTGCCGGTAGCTCCCTCCTATCGATGCTAGTTCTGCCCTGGAGGTCATTCAGAACTACACGAAAGCCTCTTCCACTTGACAGCCCTTCAGATTCTCAAACCCAGCTATCACGCCTCTTCCCAGTCTTTCTTTCTCTGATCAAAATAGCCCCAGTTCCTCTAACTGTTCCTCGAGCCGCTTACTTTTGAGTATCTTTATCATCCTGCGAGCCTCTGGACATGTTCGAATTTAACTCCATTCTTATTAAAGTGTAACACTCAGAAAGGAAGTCAGGCAGTCGTCTGACAGCCCGGAGCAGTTCAAGGCTTTTACCGTCATCGCTGCAGACTGTAAAACCTATCCGTGTAGCCTCTCTTGATTTAAGAATTTTGATAGTCACATCCTATCTGTCACTCATTTTGCACTTATTCTTTTCCAAGAACTCAAAGTCTGTTCCCCCCCCCCCCCCCCCCCGCTTTACTTCTGATATTGGGTTAAACCAGTTAACTTTTCTAAAACAAGGCATAGAATCATATTTTCCCCCCTGTTGGCTATCTGTTGTGAGATGTAGATTCTCTCTCCCACCTGTCCCTCCAGTCTCTCAGCTGACACACTACCATTTCCTAGGAAGTCTGTACACTCTCTCTGCACCTGTAAGTCTACAGTGGTTGCTCGTGTCCAATAGAATGTTGCACCTCCGTTGATTCCTGTGTCTCTGCAGCCACATCCCTTATTGTTATCTGCTTTTGTCCAAAATGTCACTCTTGCCCCCCATTCATTCATTCATTCAGCAAATAAGAAATGGCTGGTGCAGCGTAAGGTCAGTATAGGGGGCATACAATGTTGGGCAAAAGAGATGCGGTCCTTGTTCTCATGGAAGAGGTTACCCAGCTGAAGGGCCAAGAGAGTGCAAAGCATTATATAGCCAAAGAAAAGGGGGAAAGGATGGAGAAATCAAAGCTGGTAGAGAAAGAAGGAATGTGTTTTGGGGTGACTCTCAATTCTAGAGGGTGGCTAGGATGCAAACTTTTTCTAATCAGACCCTGGGTCCACTTCTTCCAGGCCCCATGCTCTGTATTCATGCCCTTCTGCCTTGTCAAAACCGTAGGCTTTTGCCTCCTTGTCTTATTTATCCCTCCTTCTAACTCTGAGAAAACCTTACAGTTGCTTTCCTTGGATTTAGCAAAGGTCAGTCAATACAAGAGATTTGTTGGTGCCTGGACTCTGTCATTCTCATAGACAGTGAGGGTCTTGTGATGTTGGTAATTCTTGACTCTCAACTCAGGTAGTTACATTTCTGCCTTCACATGCCTTTAGATATTTCTCTCTTCTGAGTTCATTTTTTCAGCTTTATGGATGTATAATTGACAAGATTGCATATATTTAAAGTGTGCAATGTGATGATTTTACCTACATATGTATGTATATTGTGAAATGATTACCACCACCATCGAGTTGATTGGCATATCCATTATCTCACATAGTTACCATTTGTGTGTGTGTGTGTGTGTGTGTGTGTGTGTGTGTGTGTGTGTGTGGTTAGAATACCTTAGCAATGGCTTTCTTAGCAAATTTAAAGAATATTACAAAATAGTATCATTAACTATAGTTGCCATGCTATATATTAAATCCCCAGAATTTATTTATCTTATCCTTAGATTTACATCTCTTTATCTCTCTATTTCTTCCCTTCCCCCAGCTCCCAGCAGCCACATTCTCCTCTTTGTTCCTATGTTTTTTATTTCTTCTTTTTTTAATCTATTCATCTGACAAAGATATGTTTCCATATCTTGGCTGTTATAAATAATGCTAAAGTGACATGGGAGTGAGTAGAATTTTTCAAGATACCAATTTCATTTATTTTGGATATATATAGTCAGAAATAGGATTGCTGAATCCTCTAGAGGTCATTTTTTTAAAAATATATTTTATTGATTTTGTACAGAGAAGAAGGGAGAGAGATAGAAAGTTAAAAACATTGATTAGAGAGAGTCATCGATCAGCTGCCTCTTGCACACCCCCTACTGGGGATATGCCCGCAACCAAGGTACATGCCCTTGACCGGAATCGAACCCGGGACTCTTCAGTCCCCAAGCCGATGCTCTATCCATTGAGCCAAACCGGTCTCGGCTCTAGAGGTCATTTTTATCATTTGTATTCTCTCAGGGGGGAAATTGTTTTTTCCTGGTTTTCATATGTATTTGCATACAATTAAGTAATCTCTTGTTTAATTATTTTTATATTCTAGGTTTCTAGAATTATATTCTCAATATTGTTCCATATTTGGCGTATTTATGTTTTTCACTCTGATTCTATTAGTAATGGTTTATTTTTATTTAGTATTTTCCCAAAAAAAACTGATTCTTGCATTTACTTATTAGTTCCACTCTGGTTTTTTTAAATAAATTTTTGCTTTTAATTTGATTAACTGTATTGTGTTCTCAGATTTTTTTCTTTTTATAACTTGAATTGGGTGCATAATTCATTTGTTTCCATGCTTCCTTGTAGTTCTCATGAAGATGGTGATGACTAATAATAGAAACCAACATGTACAGCTAGAGATCCAACTGTCCTTTAATGTGGCTGCGGGCACAGCATGGTCCACACAAAGAGTAGCACAGACACTCAGCAGTACTTTCCCCATGTTGGGGGAGGGGGGTGCTTTTTTTCTCTCTTCCATTTTTTTCTGGTCTCTACAAGCTTATGTTTCACTCCTTGTATTGCCTTGCCTTGCCTTACCCAATTTTCCTGGCCCTCTTATATCTCTGCTTTGATCTATTAGAGAGATGACGGTTTCAGTTTGTATTTTTTAAATTTTGAGATGATATATTTGGTTATATTTATCATTTGCTCCATGGCAGGCAACCATTTTCTCATGAGTATCCTTCATCTGCTATTGCTTTGTTTTTCTGTCCCTTCTCTCTCTCTCTCTC